GTTAGGACTTGAGCGTCACTGAATGTTTAGCTTCCACACCTGAAACAGAAGGTGACGCAGGCGGTGATGGAGAGCAGGGAGACGAGCACCACCACGCAGCCCGCAATCACAACAGTCCTCTTTTCCTTTTCAGCCTGCTGAAGCTCCAACCACTCCAGGTCACTGAACTGACAACGCTCCCCAATGTAGCCTGGTACGCAACTGCAACGTGTCAAAGAAAAGCTTGTTTCAAGGTTTGTTTCATAGTTTAGACAGAATCAAATAGACTTTTTCTTTCTTTTTTTTAGCTTTGATCTAAGTTTAACCCAAGATGAAATACATCAGACTATATCAAGCAAATGCGATGTTTAACTTTTTCAATTAAATACAGGAGGTGGCTGGTTGTACAACACAAAACAATGCAAATTTTAAAAGTGTCCACCCACTGCTCATTATTCTTATTCTTATTCTTTTATTTTAGCCTAATTTGTTTAAAATATGACAAAAATTATAGTTTATTTCTGTAAAATAGAGACAGAGTTTATGTATAAATAGTTCAATTTAAAATATGACATTATTTATGTCTGCTTACTATATAACAATAAAACTTCTTAGCTTGTAAAATGTTTTGATTGTAGAGCAACAGTGACACCTGCTGGTTGCCGTCATAAGCTACACAGAGTTGATGTTTGTGTTTCATTTACAAAGTGTCAGCATTATGAAGGGGTCAGTTTTGAAGGCTGCATGTTAAATAAAACAATATTTTGAATATTTTTTATTATTATTACTTGCAGGCGTAGGACTCCATGTCGGGAAGGTAGAAGCAGATCCCCTCATACAGACAGTAAGATTCRTGGCTGGAGGGACACCTCTCCGCTGAGTTACTGCTGTGGCGCCGGGTGGTTACATCAACAGGACTGGGAGACGTCATCCATGGTGATGTAGTGTCTAACTCTAAARAAAGTATTCCATTTGAATTACATAATGCATAACTTTTACTCATAATATTTAGAGTATTGGTAAATAAATCCTATGAACATTGATACCTTACATTTCCTTTGCGTTAATTATCCCCCCCAAAAAATATTTATTACAATGAATAAAACACACCTTGACATGTCTGCCCATTGCCATAATAACCAGTGTGGCACTTGCACAGGAACTCCCCTACGATGTTTTGACATTCTGCATGTTTGTCACAGTTATGTGTTCCAAGTTTGCACTCGTCAACATCTGGGACAAAAGGAGAAGAGAAAAAAATAACTTTATTTTAACCTTA